TATTATTATTATTATTATTATTATTATTATTATTATTATTATTATTAACATGCTCTGATGCTAAGGAGTTCTACTCCCCCTCCCCACCTGGAAAGAAATCTGCCCCAAATGCAAAACACAAGCAGAGGAGAGGAATTTCAGTTTCAGTTTTCACAGCACCAAGCAGCTTTAATACAGAACAGTTGAGCTAAGCCACGCCCGGGCTCCTTGCTGTCTCCTTCTTGCTCACACAGCAAATACTATTTCAGTTTCCAAACAGCCCTCAACTATCTCACACACTGACAGGACGCTAGCCAGATGAATACCAGTGGATGCTGGTAAGCAGAAACACAATTTTTTCCCCTTTATTTTCTTCCCCCAAAACTAAGCCCAATCACATAGTTTCGTAGCGAAGCATGAGAATCAAGCTAGTATTAAAATATAAATAAGATTCTGGACTGCTAAATGCCCTCAGCTTACAGCTGGTCATGATGTGATCTACACTTTGATGTGGGACCTCGCAGTCACACTGAAGGGGAGGATGCTATGCCCCAGTTATACAGAGACGTTGTGTGAGGTGCGAATCGAATCCTATCAAGGATTGTCCATTGCTAAAGTGGTAGTTCAAAGCCTAGAATCCTTTTTGTGGGCTCATGGGTGTGTCTTCCTATAACTGGGCACTAAGCGACTTTCCGTTGTGAATCAATGTTAAAGTTGTTGAGCGGGAGTGCCAAGTGAACTTCCGGGATTTTAGCCTTCCTGTAAAATTTGAATTTAAATTCTGGGATTTTTTTTTTTAAAAAAGGCAAATGAGGTTGCTTGAAATTGTAATAATAGCATGAACATTGATGGTGGGATTCGAACCTTTTTACTACCAGTTCTGTGGGCGTGGCTTGGTGGGCATGGTGTGGCTTGGTGGACGTGGGCAGGGGAAGGTTACTGCAAAATCCCCCTTCCCTCCCCCCCCCACTAACCTGCTTTCCAGCTCTGTTCTCCGGTGCGGGGCAACCAAAGAAGACCCAGCCGATCAGCTGGGACTCAATGGGAGGCGAAGAAGAGATGGGGTTGGCGGTGCCAGTCAGAGGTGGGATTGGCCGGTTCTCCAAACTACTCCAAATGTCCGCTACCGGTTCTCGAGAACCGGTCAGAACCGGCTGAAGGCCACCTCTGATACACATATTATGCCAACTTCCTTGGCCTGTGACACTGAGGTAATGTCTGTCTCTTTCTCTCCCTAGCTCTCTGTACTGAAGAATGTGTCCACGGACGGTGTGTGTCTCCCGACACCTGTCACTGTGAACCAGGATGGGGAGGGCCAGACTGCTCCAGCGGTGAGTCGAAGACACCCCATAATTATGAAATAACCCGCCTTCCCCAAGAGTGTGGCTTATGTTTCAAAACCGGGCGAGCGCTGTCTATTGAAGTGGACCGCTCTCCATGATAAATCCTTTCCTTTAAAATGCCGCGTTTCTATTTTGAGATAAGGATCGTTCCCAGAAAGCCGTGGTTCTCTTGTACGGTTTTATTCTTAGATACTTTTACTGCAAAGTCGTTTTTTTAAAAATGTCATTCCTCCGCTATTAGTCATTCATTGTTCAGTGTCCAAACGGCTTCGCTCGTGGCTGAACTGCTGCAGAGAAAAGCCTCTTCTGCTTTCGAGGTGGGAGATGGAATTCTTTCTGCAAACAGAAAACTGGGGTGATTGCGACATACAATGTGGCTGGACAAAGAGGTTACGGGTGCTCATTAGCTCGTATGTGTGCCAAGATCCTGGCTGAACCTCACAGGGGCACTTATTCTTCTCCTGTCCCTGTCAGCCTGAATTGTCCCTTTTTCCAGTAACTCTCTCACAAGCCTCTAAAACACCTTTTACCTGGGACGAGTCCAATTCTGTGACAGCCACAGTGAAGCGCTGACCTATTTAAGGTCTCTGAACTGTGCAGGAGCTATTTTGAAGTTTCGCTTCTTGTGATATGTGGCCTTATTTTTCCAGGGGCAGAAAGGTTTCTCTCTCTCTCTCTCTCTCTCTTTGTGTGTGTGTGGTTTGTGTGTGTCTCTGTGTATGTCTCTCTCTCTGTGTGTGTCTGATTCACAGCCAGCCATTTGGCTGTTTCTGGTGGAAGGAATCAGGTTTGGTTTGCCGAGTTCAAATCCTTCATTTTTGCAAAAACCCTAATTCATGTAACACCTTTTTAATTGGCAAGTGAGTTGTATATTTGCTGGCTCTGTGACCTCTTCTTTTTTTTAACTAAAGGAGAAGTCTAGTGCAGCAACCCAAACTCAACAGTGGTGTGTTATGCAAACCGCGATGGTGTATCTGTCACATGTTATAATGAAACACAGCTTATTAACTCTGCTAGAACAGCTTGGTTCCAAAGGAGGGGAAAAAAGAGTTATTAAATTCACTACCTCCTATCTGCACTATTGATCAGAAATTTTGACAAGTCCCTCCCAACAAGGATGAGGATAATTGAGTATTCCTTCTGGGACGTTCTCCCCAGACACTGCTCTGGCCCTTTGTGGTGATGCCGTTGGTTCAAGTTCAGCTGGGGAGGCTGGTCGAACTCATGGGTGCATTTCAATGTGACGCATCTCCTCTCCGTGCCCAGTGTGGTTGTGGAGATGGGCTAAGACAGAGATGACAGCGGAGGCAGAAAGGAGAATTGCAAGTGTAAGCTCTTTCTGAGGGAAACCGAAATGGCCATAAGGAAGAAAGAAAAGGGACGCATTTCTTAACAAAATGCAGAATACGGTGATACTCATTATTAATTGGTTACAGGAGATGCAACGAATACCAAAAATAATAAATACCAAATAATTTTTTCCCATAAGGAATAATGTAACGAGACACAAGGCAGCTGACAGTGACAAATTCTATCTTGTGAGCTGAGTACTAAACAAATGATGAGTACAGGGACAACATTTTCACAGCAGAATGTGCTGAGTACCAAATTCGATGAGTTTCTTAGCAGTTGAATACCAGGGTACCTGTCAACTCATAAAATATTCCTATGCCTGTTTTAGTAGTTGCCATAAAAAGGGGGGGGGGAGGGAGGAAATCTGGAAGAGGAGTTGCAGCAGTTTGAAATTGAAAATACATTCCAACTCTTACCTTTAAAAGATTGTAACTCAAATACCAGAGCTTTTGCCTGGGAATATATTTAATTGGAGAACGTGAATGATGACACCCAGCCCGTAATTGGAGAATGTGATTGATGACACCTAGCCTGTGAACGTGCTCAATTGGAGAATCTGGTTTATAAGACACCCAGGGGGGGAGGGGGGAAACAGGTGAGTGTAAATTACATATGTCAGAGGTGGCTTCATACAGGGCAGTGCCAGTATGTTGCCTCTAATGAATCCTTTGCAGTTTTTTGAAGTTTGGCTTGAGGATCATGATTTAATTAGGGCGATTGCTGGAATCCTGACAGTACCACTGTAACAGAGTTGGAGTGGGGCTTGGAGGTCTTTGACTTCAACTTGTCCATGTGATCAGCAGGAATGAAATTTGACTTGAAGACCCCCCCAAAAAAGAAAATGAAGAAGTCTGGGATCCATCCCAAAATTCCATGGAGCTGCATTTAATTCTGAGGTCTCAGATTGTACAGGCAGTCCTCGACTTACAACAGTTCATTTAGTGCCCTTTTGAAGTCACAACGACATTGAAAAAAGTGCCTTATGACCATTTATCACACTTGGGACCACTGCACCATCCCCATCAATCACGTGATTTACATGCAGACACTTGGCAACTGGTTCATATTTATGATGGTTGCAGTGTCCTGGGGTCAAATAATTCCCTTTTGTGACCTTCTGACAAGCAGAGTGTCAACTAAAAAGATATTCCTTTGGTCTTTTTAGCTGCCAGAAAAAGGGAGTGGGGAAAAACAAGGCATTCCTTAAGTGCCTAGATAATCACCCTGGCAGCCCAAAGTTGTCGGAGTGTAAGAAAGTTATTGGAGAGCATGATGGATGACCCTTGGAGATGGATGTGTCCCATTGGAGAAGTCACATCCAGGGGTTGGGGGGAAGACCAGGGTCAAGGGGGAAATGTATGATATAATTTAGTATCAGCTGCACCCAGCCACGCGCCAACATGGCAACTTCTAATAAACCAATTTACTTTTCTCTGAGATGCGGCTAGAGACTTTTGATTTGAATGGGGGTGGATTTGTTGGAGCCCTGACACAGAGTCAATGGGGAAGCCAGGTTCACTCAACAACTGTGTCACTAAAACTGAACAACTGCAGTGATTCACTTAACAATATGGCAAGAAAAGGCATAAAATGGGAGAAAACTCACTTAACAAATTTCTCACTTAGCCACATAAATCCTGGGCTCAATTGTGATTGTAAGTCAAGGACTACCTGTACACCAATGACGCCGGAAAAACCACAGACTTCTGGGTAATGCTCTGCTGCCTTTCCAGGCATGGCTCAAACCCAGGACCTTCGGTGAGAAAGGCACATAGTTTGCTATAGGGCAATACCCGAGTTCTCCCTGCCTGCATAACAAGAACCAAAGCAGACAACACTTGAAGGTTATTATATTTTCTGATTTTAAGCAAAGGAGACATCCACCCATCAAGAGGCATGCTCAAAAAAAAAAAAAAAGGCTGGAAAGAATGAGGACGTTTGCCTGAAATACTGAGTCGCTATTATTAGAGAGCTTTTAAAAAGACCCCTGTAAAAATGGTGATGAAATATTGCCCAGAAGTGTCATTCTTCTGAATTACCCTTTTCATCACCATCTCTTCTGTTTGTGATCCTTTATTTTTTTTGGCCCGTGAAAACAAATAGGTCTTTGCCTCATGTATAAGATTTTTAAGATTTTAGCTTAACAGGGGGGAAAAAAAACCGGAATCGGTATAGTAAGGAATGACTGAGGAGGAGGAATTGGGTCTCTGGTGCAAACTCTTTAGCCTTCTTCCTTGTGAGACAGGTGCAAAGTTGGGGATTGTAAAATGGCCACCAACCCAGGGCCAGCTCTGGGCTTAGGTGAAAACCAAGAGTTCCTTTTGGTGATGATGTACCAGGCCTTAAGCAGGAACTCAAGGGGAAGTTGGCATCTTCTCTGCTTTAATTCAACTGGCTTGGCCATCTGAGCAAGCTTTGGCTTGAAGGTGAATGGTCCATTGGGCACTAGCTATGGGGACCACCTGCTGAGAGTAATGCTTGTAAGAAGACAGGTGGTTAATGATGGCATGATGGTCTTGGGGAAAGGATGTAGAAAGGAGCCAAGGATCCTTTGATAGTTAAAGGCAGATTTATTTGTTTATTGATTTGATTTGATTGGTCAATCGCTTACAAGATAATAGGCACAAGTATAAACATGGGTACAAATACAGGAAATAGGTACAAATAAATGGGGACAATAGGACAGGGGCCGTAGGCACGATGGTGCACTTATGTACGCCCCTTACAGACCTCTAAGGAATGGGGTGAGGTCAACAGAGGTCAGTTTAAGGTTAAAGGAGTGGGGGTTAGAGGATGTAACAACAGAGTCAGGGATTGACGTTCCAGGCATTGACGACTCTGTTGCTGAAGTTGTACCTTCTGCAATCAAGTTTGGAGTGGTTTACGCTGAGTTTGTATCTGTTGTGTGCTCTTGTATTGTTGCGGTTGAAGCTGAAGCAGTGATTGACTGGTAGGACATTGTAGCAGGTAATTGTGTGTACTATGCTTAAGTCCAACCATTGGCAGGGTTAGTGGAAGGTTGTCCAAGTTTTGGCAATGTCTTCTTCCCCAGTTGATCCCATATCCCTAGAGCTTCTGCACATGGGTTCAAAAAAAGAACCAGAGAGCCAGTGAAGGGTGATGGTGAAGATATTGGAGGAGGCTTAAATTCTAGACTCTCCTCAAACATAGAGGTCGCCTTGGGGGAGCAACTCGCTCTCGACCCAAGAGCCAATATGGCTAGTGGTGAAGATCCTAGATTAGGAACAGGGAGATCCAAGTTCTAGTCCCTCCTTACCTACAGAAGCTCATTGGCTGACTTTGTTCTGGTCCTTCCCTATCAGCACATGAGCCAAACAGGTATAGTGTGGAAGGTGCTGGAATACGAGCAGAGAGACCCCAGTATTAGTCAGATAAATTCACTGGAAGGTTTAGGCACTCATATTCAGTCCAGCTTTTCTTACAAGAGGTACGTATGGCTGGAAAGACTAAGGTCTTTTATAAGTTGCCTTGAGCTCCTGAAATGTACAGCAGGATATAAACAATATAACAATATGTGAATTAAAAATTATAAATCCAATCCATCATTATATAAATAAAATCTGAATAGACTTAGAAATGCACGTCATCTCCGCTCCTTGTGCACAGCTACTGTG